CAAGGGGGTATGTTTATTCAGGACCTGTCAATAATTGCAAGTGACAAGGTCATACAGACGTACACATATATATATATACACCATGAGAACACATTTTTGGAGCATAGACGTTGCTTACATGTCAATTTTTAAATTTTCCGGGGGGTACTTTTATTCCAGGGGGTACTTTTATTAGATTTTGAAGATTTGTCCGGGGGGTACTTCTATTCCAGGGGGTACTTTTATTCGAGAGGTGAGAGTAAACATCTGTCATACGAGCAGTGGCTTATAACATTCATATACATGTATATGGTCAGACAGGAGTCTAAATCCCTCTTGCTATAAAATTGCAACATGATATAATCCAACACTAGTTACCATGGTAACAGACATTCAGGTTCAGGTCATTGACCATTTTGGTTTGGAGAAGAAGAGGAAACGTAGCAAAAACAATACGTTTTCCTTCAGTAAACATTTAAAAAAACCTGCCCTCACCTCTTGGTTTGCAGCGATGCAGCACTCTGCGATGCGTAACCAGAGGCGTGGGTTGGAGTGGTAGACCTGGACCGACTCGATCAGACAGTCGAATGCGGCGAGCGGTCGGCCGGCGTGCAGCAGCTGTACCCCCGCGTTGTACAGCAGCTCGTAGTGCTTGTTGGTGGCCAGGGTGTGCAGTGGTCGCCCAGATAACACTTGTCCTGCAAACCACACAAGTTTGGAGGAGGTTTTAAAATGCTATTTCTGTACATGAATCTGCATAGCTGGTATAACCACTCCTTGACATAATACACCAGCTTCTATATCTGTATCTGTTTAGCTGGTACAACTGCCCCTCAGCATAACACACCAGCTTCTGTATCTGTATCTGTATAGCTGGTATAACCGCACCTTGGCATAACACACCAGCTTCTGTATCTGTACTTGCATACCCAGTATAACTGCCCCTTGGTGCAGCATGGTGGCAGCTGGCTACATTACATTGAAAAACTGTGTTCTGCTATTTTGAATTGTACATGTAACAGATTTAAGCATCTAGATTTTCAGGCACAAACCTGGTTCACGTTTGGGCAGCTGTTGGGCCCTGTTGTCGTTCTCCTGCATGGCCTTCTTGAAGTAGAAGGCTCCCAGGTTGTACTTCTTCATGTAGAAGTGTATACAGCCTGGGAAAGGTGATGGAACATGCAGGTAAGTAAAAAATGCACCCCCTAGTGCCTGACAAAGGAACTGCATTGCAGGGTGGTCTCTGCAAATGCTACATGTATGAATAGTACGGTTAATGAAGAATACAGAATGTGAGAATTCATCCTGTATGTTAAAAAAATATTAATTTAACTTTCCAAATGTACAAAATCAGGAACCGTAAGAAACACACACACATCCACGCACACGCACAGACACACACACACACACATAGATGATCCAAAAACTATACTTTAGTCCCCTGCAGTGAAATTAAATACTTTGTGTATAGTATGCTAAGAAAATGCTGTGCTTGGAAAAATACCATTGATTTTCCTAGGCCTTACTCAAGTACATTGAATGACTAGTCCACATGGTCATTATAACTCCAGCTCACCTAGGTTGTTATAAAACATCACAGGAATCCATTCTCCCAGCTCTATCATACGCGGTGCGTCAGGTATACTGCTCAGGAGTTTGACAGCTTTCCGGTAGTTGTGTCGCAGATACTCAAAGTTTGCTTTCAAGAAGATGGTAGTGCTCGTCTGAAATTGTAAAACCAACAGATTTAAAGGTATCCAATGCAATTCCAAGGCAGCCAACCAAAGAAAAATTTCTGGATGAGGAAATCTGCCTGATATTGACATTCACAGGCATTTCTTAGCACATTTTCGTCATCAATTCATATTTGAAGTGGTTGAAATAGCCCAAAGACAAGCTTCGTGAGGTACCGCTCTAGAACCGACCTTCAGAAGAAAACAAACAACTCGCATCGCATCGCATTTTTCCTCACAGTAATTGCTATGGGATTCAACTTACTGCGTCAATTAAAAGAATACCCTGAAAATTGACTTTAAAAATCCAGCTTTGTCACTGTACCAAATCAATTATTGTGGGACAGTACCAGTACACAGTACCAGTACACAGCTCTAGAAGCTACAGTATCATACAGAGTTGCCCACCATGCCCTGTGTGTTGATGACTGCCTTGATCTCTCTCTTACAGGCCTTGATAGACTTGGCCAGCAGACAGCAGCGCGCCTTGTACTGGTGCAGGAGCGGGCGAAACTCTTCGTTCGGCGACACGGTCTCAACTGTCGTCTCCTTGGTGGCGGCAAGCGAGGCTCCGCTCTGATCAAACAATGAAAAAACAACACTTATTTTCTTTTGATATTTGTGAACAATGTTCTTGCATATCAACAATAATGCTTTGTTCATGTATACATCATTCATTAACATTATCATACATTATTCTCAAAAATTATAATACATGTATTGTGCTGTAAGATATTTTTCTTTTCTAACACTTTACATCTAAAGCATAACCCTGACTGCAATGCAATGAATATGGTTAAGTGTTTGGTACTAGCTAGCAACCTTACACTTTACAGGACCATGCCTGGCAATTAAAACAAACTCCTTACCTCTGGTGCCTTGTCTTTCTCCTTGTCTTTGTCTTGGGCTCCCTCCTTGCTTTTCCCAGCACTTGGGGGATCGAAGAGCATCTTGTCGAAGTAACTGACCATGTGTAGTGCTTTCTCAGCCTGGGAGTGACAGAAAGCTAGTTTGTTAGCAGAATTCAAAGAAAAGGTCTGTTTATGTCTCTGTCTATCTTTATTGCTGGGGCAAGTAAAACTGTAAAAGCAGTATATGGGCACATCCTCCCCCGAGTCCCCCCCCAGACGTGCCCAAAATGAGAAGTGAATTATTTAAATGTGGTAGAACCTTTTAACCTTTCTAAGCCTACAAAGAACTCAAACTTGGTGCCAGAGGGCAATCTCAGTAGGAAGAAGGTTAACTTCACCTTACCTGATATGTGAGTAGATACAGATCAATCAGGACCATACAAATCTTCCTGGCAAGAGTCTCTTCTGAAATGGAGTTAAAAATGGAAGGAAATTTAGAAACAGTAAAATAGACTGAACTTTATACAAACTACATTTACATGTACACACCCACAAATTTTTCTGTCACACACCAAAAAGTTCCTGCAATTGATAGAAAAATGGGTGCCGGCTAAAGAGCCCTGGACTAGCTACAGGAAAAAAAAAGGCCAGAAAACTAAAAGAATTGTCCAAATACATGTATTACAAAGAAAGCACCTTGAAGTAATATGCACGTGATGTGAGAAGAAAGTTTACCGAGAGGTTCGATGAACTGGAAGAGTTTCTCCAGGATGTTTGCTGCCTCCTGAAACTGCCTGGTGTGGAACCTCACCACGGCCTGGTTATAATACAGCACACCATTGTCCACATCCTCCAGGCCATCCAGGTCATTTACTTTGATACTGATCTAAAAAAAAAACAACAAAAACGATATGTTCTTTCATGTTTAAACTTAAAACTTTTGTTCCAACACAAGAGATTGTTCTCACCAAGAACTTTTAACTGGTTACTCCTATCTTCTTCAATAGACTAGTGAGACTTGTCACGTGGCTTCTCTGAAGTGTGACGTCAACTCTGGGTCAAAAGTATCTGGTAAACGATGTTGGCCCCTGACAAAGTTGAGTGTCATTTGCCAGATACCTTTGACCCAGTGTCGATGTCGGTGGGTTTTTTGCTAGGGTCGGTCGGGAAACCATTAACACAATATTTTATTTCCTAGGCCTTACCTGTGAGCATACCGTCTGTAGCCGCTGTCTGAACTCGTCAGTTTTGGTGCAGTTGGACTTGTGGAACTCCACCACTGCTCTGTTATGAAGGACCTGTTGGGCAATACAAGGGAGGAAGTTCAATACAAATTACCCCTGACACACTAGCTATTACTGTAAGAAGCTGAAATTTCATATGTACCAAGAAAATGGCTCCGATTAGGTGCAAATGTCTTAGTTAAAATGTCCATGTTTTGTCTGAGAATTCTCTAGAAACAAAAACTTACCCTTAACTGTCAAGTTTCTGTAAGTGTTGTTATTGAAGAAGTTAAGAAGAACATGTTGATTTGTCAAATTGTTTAGGTACAGTTCAGGTCCAAGCCTGAACCTAAACCTGTGTACTACCTGTACCTGTACTTGAAATTTGTAATGTTTACTAGTAGGTTACAATGTATAGGTACACAACTCTAGTGTGCCGTGTATGTGGCTTATCAGGTGTATAACAAACAAACAAACAAATAAACCAACCTTGTGATCACTAGGCCGTGTCTCCTCTAGTCTGCTGATGGTGTTCAACGCTGCGTCGTACTTCCCTGACTCAAACTGCAGCAAGGCTTTCCCAGCAAGCTCTCTTTCCTCGTCCGTGATAACAGCCACACTCGGGACTGTCTCCGTGGTCTCGGCGGTCTCTTCCGGTTTGTCTGAAGATTCCGCCATCTTGTCTGTAGCGCCTTTCACATACTTCCTAAATACTCCTGCGATTGGGAACATCTGTTTTAGACCTTTGTACATCTTAAACATGACAATTTTTTTTTACAATTTTGACATGAGGTTGGTTTTAGATTGCAAACTAGAAATATTATACAATTGAATAAGAATAATTTAGTAAAAGATGACGAATTTATAGTTTTCACATAATTTTAGAACGTTATAAATAAGCGTTAAGCACCAAAAATACAGTTGATTACATATCAAGTTATCATTAACTTATATTAGTTATGTATGATAAATATTGACCAAACATGTTTTGGCACAGGTCCGGTCCTCTAGCTGAAAAATGTTCCTGTGCCTTATATTTTAGGTACACTGTCCTATTTGCAAACGTTTTTATACACTTGCAGTTTCTTTATAATTTTTTCTGGCCAAGTCAACCGCCACTGCACTGCACTGTGCATGTGCTTGCGGTAGCAGCCTTTTTATACCAGTAGACGGAGAGTTTTCTCAATTATTCACATTACAAAGACATAAGCAAATATGTTATAGGCTAGTTTATACGACAATTTTTTCGTATGTGTAGAAAATGAATGAAATTTCGACAAAAAAGACACAAACCTTGCGAACTTTTACCGCTCGGCAGCCATATTGGATGGACGAAGAGCGCGTGCGTGAGGGAAGGAACCATTTCTTCAATACGGGGGGAACCACTTTTATCCATCCTGATTTATCAAATTTTACCGCTGTAAAATTTCATATCATAAATCTATAGGATGGTTGATAAGGAAAATGATATGACAAGAATACGCTAATTTGACGTGATTTTATACCATTCCTAACCACCTTATTTCCAATTTTTGAAAAAAAATTACGTAAAAAATAAATTGAAAGTGGACTTGATATGACTCTGATATGTATAATTTGTCCATATATTTTCCATGACTCAAAATATGATATCTTTCCTTTGCATAAGCCGAGCCGCGAGCGATCATGGGTAATTAAGAGAAAAAAGTGAAAGGAATCGTCCAAATCTTCCCATCATGCCATGTGCGTCTTTACTTTCACTTTCATCATATCAGTGTTGTTTTCATTTGGAGCGCGGGGAGGCCAGGCTTGCGGTGCGCGTTTGATTCCCCCGCCGTGCCGCTTCATCTTTTTCTGAGCGGGTTTTCAGAGAGGATAGCTGCAGGGAGGGCGAGCTGAGCACCGCGTATTAACGGTGGTGCCTCGCCCCGGTGGGCCATGGGCTGCTCGCCCAGCCGGGGGTACGTACGAGACGGCAGCGGGAGCGAGCGGGAGCGGGCCCGGAGGATCTTCCGCCGGCCGAAGGTCAGCATCCGCGTGGGCCCCGCGGTCAAGCCTCTGCAGGGCGACGAGCCCAGGATCGTCTTCATCTTCGGCGGACCTGGTGAGCTGTTTTTTGGTCTTTCGGTCCAAGATGTGCAGCCTCTACCTTGGTTGTTGTTGTTGTCCTTGTTTAACGTCTAATATATCGCTAGACGTGGTCTCTTGGTGCCGGTATATACGGCAAAATAAAACAGACTCCCTTTAATCATAGTCGCCACGGTTTAATCTCCAGGCAGCTCTTTTGGTGGCTGCAAAGACAGTATCAAATTGGCCAGGCTGTATCTTGCCTGGTTCACAGTTTATCGTGGTTGGAGCAGGCTTTTTTACTGGCAGCTCAACAGGCCGCCCCCGGTCCCGGTGGGGGTGTTACGCCTGTAGGAGCTTTGATATCAGTAATAGTACGTCATGAGTTGATTAGCCCACCACTAATAGAACACACGTCTCTGCCTAGGTGGGTATCGAATTTCATACTCTTGCCCACGTATTCTAAATGTTCATCTAATACTGGACAGCAGTCCTACCCGACCGAAGTTTCTACTCTACTCGTTACGATTTGTAATACAAATGTACTGCCAGCATAAACTCCCTTTGCCCCAGAGGATCTGCTTGGATATTACTAGTAGTATATAAAGCTTAATCCATGTTTTTAGTCAAATATAAAAAAAATCATTACATTTTTTCACCACAGATGTGTATGCCCCGGACAGGAAGCTGGTGTATAGTAAGGAGACCCCCCCCCCCCCAGCAAAATCCTGGCCACAGGCATGAATATCCTTCTAAAAGATCAAAAGGACTATCTGTAATGCTATTATTCTTCACTATCCTGCATGTTTGGAATAAAGGATAAAAATCCCCCAGGATATGTATGGTTGCTGTGTTGCCATAGACACCAGTAATCAAAGGTCAGATCTTGCAGCTGTTTGTAAAGGGAACATTTTGCAGTGCAGGTTGCCTCAGGGCAACCAAATTTTCCTTGACGCAACCTGGCCTTGTGAATACAGGATGCCTAGGAACTTCATTAAGGGAAGCCAATTTCTGAAAAAAATGAAGTTTTTGTAACATGACGCAATATGGGAGATGGTGCTGAATGACAACACTGGTGTTCCTGTCCTTGGTACTGAATAACACACTAACAAGACTGGAGCCCGGTGCCTCTGTCCCTGTCTATTATTTTGAAATGTCGTATCCATGCCGGAAAAATGAATCCTTTGACATAGAAGCACTAGGCTCCCAAGATATTTAAAATAATGCTAAAGGTTGCTCAGTGTGCAACCATAAGCTGAGAAATTGATTGGAACCTGTGTTTCAATTCAATAAGTCTTTGGTACACAAAGAAAACCCACCATGTGTCAGATGTTTGTATCGTATCGGTCCTTTCTACAATCATTTGTCACAGAAAAAAAATCAACAGGTTATAAAATCAATTATGCAGGGAGATTTTCATGTATCTCATAGTTGTCATAAAAATCGATAAAGCACCACATGGTGCTACAACACGAAAACTGGAACATACACTTGTTGTGGCAGTGTTTGATTAATTGACCACAAACAGAGGAAAAACAGTAGAAAATCCCCAGTATCGAAATTTCAGAACCGTCCAGTGTTAGAATAAGAATTCCAGTAAGAAACTACCTGATACCAACCGGATACATTAAACACCTTCTTGCTCTGATCTGCAGTTCAAAGATAGCATGGTATCCAAACCAACTGTAAATGTACACATCTGCAAAGCGTACTGCGCCTGTGCGAAACTCAGATTTATCCCCGTTTTTAGTGGATATGTTTGGTCAAGGTTGCGTAAGAATTTTCTGCACTACTTTACGCTAAAATCAAGGGTCGCCCACGAATTACACAGAGGGATGTTTTACTTTACCTAAAAAAAGATGTTGCTACCTTGCAAGGAATTAATTGAAACTACGTCACGAGAAATTAAATCCGCTTGCCCACTCCTTGGGGAAAAGGGCATACAGGCCATTTAACGTCACATAGGGCTTGTAGCCTGGACAACGGGGGTCGTCTAGCTGTGATGAAGATCCCTGCAACGTTGAAAGGGATGAAATGCAAAGCCTGTCTACGAATCTAGGGATGTAGGATTTAATGGAAAGGCACTTTACACCTATTTCTTCACTTGACTCAGGTGTAAATGTGTACCTATCTTCAGTTAGGGACGTCCTCTTGGATAGGATGTAAAGCCGGAGGTCCTGTGTTTAATGTGCCATCCACGCGTGCATTGATTTCACTTGTTCTCAAAAAAGAAAAAAGATCACTTCTTCCGAAAAGATCACGTCCTCTTGTCTGGGTGACATACTCCAAAGTCCATGGTAGCCAGGGACAGTGCCGATTCATAAATTCTGCAAAAGGCCAGCATGTGCCGGCTTGTCGTAAAAGTCACTTTGTACTACCGCAAATTCACAATACCAGCTTTGTATTCCTGTTTTTAGCAGCATTTTTATTTTTGGCCGGAATCTTTTTTTATTTGCCCTGCGCCATCCATGTCATCCATAAAATTATGGCCTTATGCGCAATGATGATGATGAAAGTTCCCCTTTTGATGTAACGTTGCTTCCGACTATCAACAGCTGCACACAGCCTTTTCTGTATCTGTCAGTGTGTTTGAAGTAACAAAAGCTATTCAACTTCAAATGGCACAAGAAAAAGACAAACGTGCAACAGCTGGAAGCAGTCTTGTTAATTTCTGGGCAGGTGTTTGCAACTTAATTGGGTCAGCAAAATATTTGAAGTTGTGTTCATCTATTACATTATACACTATTACATTTAATATGTATTATTATCATTATTGTGCAGGGAACATACGCCGACAGTCAAAACTGAACATTCAGAACAAGAAATCACAGCAAATTTCCACCCAGGTTACATTAGACTGCCCCATTGATCCAAAGTGACCCAGTTGTTGCAATTTTACATTGCGCAAAGATGCTGTCAAAATCAATGGCAAACTGTCCGATTCCATCAAGATTTCTTGCTATTTATCATCAAAAAACATTTTTGACCACACACTTGAAAACAAGTTGCAGTCGTCATAGGCCATGTGCAGTCTAAAATAGTGCAAATATTACGAGTCATTAAATCTCACCTACAATTTGGAAAACATAAAAGCTATAAACACAATGGTTATGGCTGCCCTACTCAACTATTGCAATACCTGATTATATGTAATGAGCTAATTTATCTATTTATCAAAATTTACCATAATACTTTTAATAGTGGAGGGATTGACATCACCTTTTCAAGATGTCTACCCTGAGACTAGACTGTAAGGTAAATTGAACCACTCAATGTATTATACCTAGTGCTACATTGTATTTCCTCACCTGAGTGAAGTAAACAAAGAGGTGTTAATTCCTATGGCATAACACAGTGCCAGTGATTTGAAACCCAGAACATTCAGATCCTCTGATTCAACAACCCTAACCACCAGGCCAATTTGTGACTCATAACGCAACGCCTGCTATTTTCATCTTCCTGAAGAGTTGTGAAATGTTCAGCAAATTACATGTTGCCGGCAGGTATTTTTAGCCCTGGGTTTGAAGTCCTGACTCCCTCAGAGCTCTATTCACAACTCCACACAATCAATTTCTAGTGAATCGAAGGACAGAAACGTACTGGATTAACAACTGCTAGTGAGAGTCTATTTTTAGCGTAAGCCAATTATGACACATGATTACAGATTTGCTTCAGCAGCAGAAAGATGAATAGCGGTAAAATCAATTTTTTTTCTGGCAGCTCTTTCCTGAGCATATATGTGTGAAAAGATAATATACCATATCTACATGTTTCAACTTTGCAACATGATACTAGTAGGTTGTTTATTTTAGATGGCAGGCTGTCTGTAAAGAGATCACTCGCATGCTGGCAGAGGCTATCCAATTTGTAAAGGGCTGTTGCTGGCCTCGTGCTCTTGCCAGCCTGTAAAACAAGTGTAAGGAGCCCCCTTACAAATCGGATGGCAACCAGGCTAGGCTGAGGCGGGACATAGTTTATTTCAGAAGCCATCAGCCAGGCCGCTGCATCAAAACCTTATAAAGGTCGCTTTGTAGGCAGAAAAATAAACTTGAGCGCCCGGCAACCCAGCATCTCCCACAAGTCATGCACAAAAAACGTGACTTGCGGGGCAAGAGTGGGTATAAATTCTGAACCCTGCACTATGTTGTGGTTATGTAGTTCTTGAATCTTCCCTCAGGGCTATTTTAGCTGAATTACTTCTAACACCTGGCGTCACGCTGTCAGTGACCTCCAGTCAAATTTGTTGATATCTATAACTTAGTAGAAGGTCACTGAATTTTCAAAATCACCAGACAGTCAAGCATAGCATCATGGGTGCCATCCATAAATAAAATCTTTGGGCTAGCTAGTGCAGGGGGCCCCATTAAAAATTTGATGTCACCCACATAAATCAAGAAAGTGTGTTATTTTTGCCTGAAAATTTATCCTGTCACATGATTGGATGCAGCTCGAGCTCAATAACCTGCAAAACATTGGCCAATCACAAAAAAATACGTGCAGTGTCCTTTTAAGGTCCGCAGACTAGTCAAGTAAGGTATTTTCCTACAGTGGGAAGCTACCTTAAATTGAGGTCACATACAATGCTTAAGCAAGTAGCCTTTAAATCTCAAAAGGCTGGAATATTATATGTAATAAAATCATGTCTCCTCCACCTGCTGGTAATATGATTAAGGCTTGGCTAATTGAACGATTTGTAATCATTAACCATATTATAACCTTGTTATAAGCACTCATATTATAAGGGCATGCGGCTATCCATTGATAATAATATGCCTCGTGCTCTTCAATCCATATTCAATTATGATTGTCTGGGTCTGTAGACTTTGATAGATGCAGAGGTCGGGGGTTCGAGTCCCTAACAGACAAGTTATGTTCACGGGTTGTGTTCATCCTTCACGGGGGTCATTGTGGCTCGAGTCATATGTACACACAGGGGAGGCTCACGTGTCAAACCCCTGCATATTAAGGAGCTTTGTAGGAAATGAAAGTCCTATTGAAGAGACATGGCACTCAATTGGCCCATAGGAAAAGCATCGTGCATCACTTCAATAGGGGGCGGTTTTCCTTGTTTAAAGGAAAGGCATCCAATGAAATTTCAGGGTGATTTTGGATGAGGAAATCTGTCTGATATTCTGACATTTGCTGCCATTCCTTAACTCTTGAAGTTATTGGATTTAAGGATGCCCCAAAAGGCTTGCATTTTTGCAAATGGTGTACTCTATCAACACACATGTATACCCCTTTCTTTTTCCAATGCAGGTTCGAGGAAGGGCATCATCATCGACCGTCTGATCCAGATGTACGGGTTCATCCTCCTGTCGGCGGAGGACCTCATCCTCCACCAGCTGCCGAAGCGGGTCTCGCACGCGATCGACGTGCGGAACACCCAGGGCATGTCCAGCCTGCTGCGCGAGGACCCCTCCCACCTCACCCTGGACTGGGTCCTCAAGCTCATGGGCGACCGGATATTCGCCGACTCGGAGAAACACTTCCTGATCGACATGGTGCCAAACCTGAAGTTTCTCCTGAAGGTGAAGAGCTTCATGAAGGACTGCACGGCTGAGATGGAGGAATTCGAGGAGCACCACCCCTGTGCCTTTGCCCTGAACCTCGCCATTCCTGAGGACCGCGTGCTGAAGCAGGTGGAGGAGGCCCTGTGTAAGAAGAAACAGGCGGAGAACATGCCGGAGGTGGACCAGCAGCAGACGGACGAAATGGACACGTCACGGACACGGCGGAGACATGAGCTGTACCAGAGCAGCGTGAAGGCGTTTCTGGACTACTTTCATCAGACGGAGCGTGTGGTGACTGTCGACGTGTCATGTGGCATACCGGATCTAATCTGGGGGAGGGTGCAGTCGTTTTTTGGGGAGCTGGACTTTAAGCCAAGAAGACCTGTCAAAACTGTGGTACTTTTTGTGCTAGAGGAAGAAGATCTGAAGGGAATTGAGCTTGCAAAGTATGGGATTGTTAAGGTAAGGCATAACAATAACTGTTATACCTATGATTTTGTTACCTCAGATCATTGATACATAGTAAGTAAAAATGTAGTTGCATGTGATATCAGTAACTAAGGGCAGCTGTTACAGTTTTTCTATATCAATGGAGTAGTTTTGTTCAGACAAACCACCCTGGTATGTTGACTTCATGGCTCCTATCCTAGAATTTTGGGCTATCATATGATGCCTAGACCTGTATTTTTGCCCTACAGCCTAGCGCTTCATATTTACTTTTCATTTAAAAAATCCCAGAAACAATACATATGTCTTTCTTAACAATACACAAAAGTCTTTAACAATGTAGTCTTGACATGTTTACCTGTTTTCTTGGCCAGGTGAACCTTAACGCACTGTCAGGTGATGACGGATGTTACGGTTCCGACAAACTTCTCAAGGCATTACACGACTACATGCAGGCACTCTCCCATGATACCGAGAACTTTGCAGGTAATACTGAATGTCCCAAGCTCCACTTTGCTGATTGGTCATAGAGCTAGAGATTCATACATATTATAATTAGTCTGCCTTTGATTCACTTGAAATCAGGCCTTTCTATACTGAATATTCATAATTAGAATACATCAACCAAGCATGTACATTACAGATGCTACAAAAACAAAAACTAATTTGACCATAAAGATAATCGAATCATGCTACGACCATGAATCATGTTGTTACTGTAACATTTTGACCCTTTTTCAGTCACACTAGCAGGAAGCTGCATTATCGAAAGCAGAAAGAACAGCCTTCACAACAAAGGCATCGTGTTCTGCGACCTGACCGACGGGGTCCACCTGGAGGATTACATGCGTCCGGTAAACCCGCGCAGGAAGAAGAGCCTCATCCGGAGAAAGAGCATCGCGCTGAGGCCGCTAAAGGCCGTGATCTCTACCACGAGCCTGTCATGTCTGTTCCAGAGGGACATCGATACAGAGCTGTGTCGGCAGATCGCGGTGTGTTTAGCGGGGCATTATGAACTTTGACTGACTCTCGTTCTCACATATATTGACTACTGTCATTCTGCCAGCCTTCGAAAAAGCAGTACACTCGATGTGTCAAGTGTTAGACTTGGAGTTTGCCAGAACAGGGATTCCAGATGTAACTCTGTGTTGTGGAGCTGGGGCCAAATCTGTACCATACAATGAGGCCAGTGTTGAACGATATTTGTTGCTTTTATTTACGTACTGTTGCAAACCTACAAAATGTTGCATCACAATTTCAGTTTTCGTTTTTAGAATTTGTCACAAACAGTGCCAAACCAAATGTATATCTCATCAGCAAAGAAGGAGAATTAAGAGAATTCTGTTGTTTTGGTGAATAAAACTTAACGAAAAACCTTAACACTGATTTAGAGTTACCTTGATAACCTATATGATGTTTATTCTTTGCTGTAGGGATGATTTTTAGAAAAATTTGAGCTATGGTAATTTTTATTCTTGACAATCAACCTTTGACATGAAACTTTTACAAAGTACACAATGATATATTCATTACAAATACCGCACCTATTTATGAATTATATTTGAAAGTGTCTTGAAATAAACCAAGGTATTCAATCGTGAATCAACCTGTAGTACAACAGAAAATATGGTGTTTTTTTAATGCCAAAATTATCATCCACAATTTTCAAGCAGCATTGTCCAGGATCCACAATGCTAGCTTTCCTCTAAAAAGAGCATCATGTATAGAGTAGAATATTTTTGTGCAAAGAGCATTTTGGTAATATTTTGATAAATAGAGGTACTAGGGGCATTCTGTCAGTTGAGATGTAGGGTAAGTAGTTCAGGCTCTCGGCTGTACAACCCACAAAATCAACTTAGGCCATGCCAATGCATTCACTTGTCGGGTCTCAGAATTTAGAAAAATAGGATTACCTGTAAAATATCAGGAAGAAGGCTGAAATTGTATTAAGATGCTAGTTTTTCTCCCTATCCTCTGTTTTTATCTTGACTTCTTAATGGTGGTTTTATATTAGCTCAAAATGTGTAAAGAAAGTACATAGATGTGGTCAGTCTTCTATATAAGGACCTTATGAGGGACCAGTTGTGTACATTGTATTTTCAAAAAACATTTTGGTGACTGACATTTTACCTTTGAGTGAATTTGTGCCATTATTCTGATTCCTGACTCAAATATATTAATTACATCTACCAATAAAACTTATATCCGGCCAGCCTAAAAATATGCATCTAGAGAGGTCTCCAATGCACTGTACTCCTGCATAATCTAAACTGTGCATACCTGGGGGTGCTACACTAGTGATCTCTTTAATAACACTTCAATGTCCCAGATAGAGATCACCTGGTAGTGGTAGATCACCACGTTAATGGAGGTTAATGCTTGTGCCTGAAGGTAGAAGAGAGCTTTGTATTTGAATTTTCATATATTCAAGGCCACACCAATTTGATTTGTTGGTTCTCAGATTTTTTCAGAAAACAAATTCAATGTGAGGGAAAAAAACAGACCTAGGCACCCTCTGATACCTCCAGAAGCTATGGTAGGAGCCATGACATCAACATACTAGGCTGGTTTATATACTGGGTATATCTTTGTGTTTTGTGCGCTTGCGCTTACCATAGAGTCAACTCACGTTTGACCTTATCTTGCCAATGCAGCTAGACATGTCCTGTTCATCTCTCCACTGATAAAAACATACAAAAGTGCAATCATGGTCCTTAGAAAAAGGCAGTGGTGTGATTTGTAAGTCTGCCAGCAGCTACGTTGGCTGTTACAGATCTTGATAGTCCACGAATGGCCTGCAAATGCCGGTAAATTTCCTACATGTTGCATTTGTTATTAGAATCTAGATTGTACTGGTGCTATCAAGATTGTACTGGTGTGATTCACAGCAACAGTCCTATCTTTTGCCAGCCCTATGTCCAGACAGCCCCATGTTTCAGAACCCTTATGTTCCGACTAAGGGTGAGTACTGGTTTCCCTAAACCTGGCCCGACTCGGAATAACATCCAAGAACTGAGTCTGATGAACCTGAATGTCGTGATCTGGAACAAAGAAATGTAGCCACCATTCGTAGACTGAACTTGCAGTTGGTAGTTCTCAGATATTTTTGTATGCAAGAAGTCTTGTATAATGTGTAGACAAGAATCAGATGACAAGGGAAATGCTGCAAATTGTGACTGTACATACTCATTCATACAAACATCAAAGAATCTACTGACAAAGGACACACTGCAAAATATAATAACAATCACAGATATGACAGCACATTCTCAATTAAAATGTATTAGTATCATTTCTGTTGTTATTCTTTGGTGACATTAGGAAGGTACTGGTTGTTTTATTTTCAATGTTGTTATTGTATCTGTCCTTGGTACTGATTGCTTTCCATTGTTATTGTTTTGTCTGTCCTATGTACTGGTTGCTTTCCATTGTTATTATTGTATCTGTATTTATATATGTACAGATATACATACATGCTGTATATTTTTGTTTATGCATTTACTTCAATTTTCACCTCAAAACAAGGCTCATGTGATCCACTCATATGTTTTGATTTAAATTAAGGGACTGTAAAGACAGATGTCCATGGTTGTGCAGATGTTTATGGTTGTACCAGTGTGGGAAACATTGACAAGGAAGCTTGTTCCAAAGTGATGTAGTTCTAGGAAAGAAGCCTTCAGCATGGAACTTCCTCCTGAGAGATGGACTATGGAGGAAGAAAGGGTGATTTTCTTCCATGGCCGAGAAATAAGTATATACAGCATATATGTAAGAGTCTTCCTTAGTCACCACGGCTAGACTGCCTAGAGTCTCAGCATCTGTGTCAATGTTATCTCTGTTTGCAGCTGTTTTGTAGGGCTTTGCGTATGACATCTTTTACATCTATTATATTGCCTGAAATATCAGTTATAGAGAAATTGCAGTGCCTACATGTATTGAATGGCAAACAGGAAAAATCATGATCAGATATATGTGTACAAATGTACTTGTACAGATGAATTAAAACATTGCAATATATCACAATATATCCCTGAATGTTGTTCATGCCTATTTATACCGTGGCAGGCAACTAATGATCTGCTACATTTCCTACGAATCCTTCTACATGCAGCATAGTACTAGTAATCTCCATAATCATAGGCATTCAGTGTACACGCATGTCTGTGCCTGAAGCTCCCAGGGGTGCACATATTAAAAGGTAATATCAAATCCTGAATGGTAGATTGATTCAGGAGCAGCAAAATTGCCCTCCAGCCGAAACTAATATGCTTCGTAACAAATCAAGGACGTGTTTGGGAATTATCAAAGATCTGGGTTATAAAATTGTCCTTCAATGATTGCTTGGCAGTCAGCACACATTTTGAAATGACCTAGCGTGTGGCGTTTGAAAGTCAACCATGTCTTAGTATTCTGCAGGTTGAAGTTAATTTGAAATATTCTATATTTCGAAGGGCGGCAGGGAGAATGATAATGTTAAGAGGTTCATATGTTAACGTTTACTAGGAAACCTGGATCGTAAGGCCATGTCGATTTGATTTTATGGATGACATCCATGTGCGAATGAATTTTCGTCGTCCATTTCCAAAAAAAAAAAATTTGACAATACAGTAAACCGTACAAATCAACAGCAACATGAGCAAATATATGCCGTAGATAGCAATATTGGAAAACAATACTTATGTCATGGGATGCCAAAATCAATTCCATAGGAAGAGAAGAAAAAAGAAAATGTGAAGAAATGAAAATTAAGAGTCTTATCATTTTCCATCCATGCTTTGTGTTTTTAGTCATTTGTTCAACCTTCATGACCACATAAATTTTTTAATGAGGGTAACTTTTTTTATTCGCACCCTCGCATAGTTTGCTGTTCCTAGACGATGCCATCCATATAATCAAATCAACATGGCCTTACAAGAGATTTGGTATGGCCATGAAATCTACTTCCCGACCTATAATGCACACGCAAAGGTTACAAGCAGTACAAGCTGCGAGCTTAGGATTAGGTCAATGCTGTATTAGATCCGTTAAGAAGCAGAGGGGACCGAAAATAGCTCACATAAGCGTGTGTAACTATAGCAACAAATAGCGCCACTGCCAACGCGAAGGGCTTGAAGAGCTCTTCCGTCTGCATGCAACGCAGCAACGACGTAGTGCCAAAAATACATATGGAACGAGGAAAAAAGAACGTTAGGGTCCTTCCACACTATCAATGTGGCCTGAGCCTTCTCGAGTAATATCGTGTTTTACGTGCAGACACAGATACACACACACGAACACCACCGAAAATACAACCATCTTGGCGAAGGTAATTAATTTTTCTTAGGAAAAGAGAAAGTTAGGAGTGCATATTATACACACATATGATACCAACATAGCCAGAAATTTCAGAGATTTGGTAAAGGGAAAGGTAGAGATAGGTACTACGGTCACGGTTCCCGTATTAAATTTAAATCTAGTCGAATTTCGTAAAACGCCTTTTAGCGGCCGGTAGTGGTACTGCATACCAGGCTCTAATTGCATGTATATTCATCATTATTAATCATGAACACTCATTAACAATTAAAGACATCAACGAAATATATCTTTTTGGAGATTAAGCATATCCATGGTCATGACTGTAACAAGAAAGCTATTTCGGGAAACGATGAGGATTTAATTTTTGGGTAACGTTAGTGATGAAAATGATATTTTGGTGTCGCCCAAAATCATGTTTCAAATAGACTTTGACCAACAAGTTTCTATTGCGTTGAAAGCATTTCTTTTGTACCGTACTATGCACTAGATATTAGTACATGTATTATCACAAAGATGTAACAGAAACGTATGGTATGTTTGTTTTTGTTATGGAATTTCATCATCCATGTTTCGCGGGAAGCAACCTTTGACCTCCATGTTTGACCAATCAGAGAGGCACACATGATCAGGGGAAATTCCTCATGATGACGTCACCCAACAGCAGACACATCCACCCAGCCGTCCATGTTTGCCACATCAGAGCCGACTCCTCTAGAAAAATCAATTTTTTCTCAAAATTTCCGAACCCAGACCATTTTACTCGGGCTTGGGTAGTCTAGATGGATGTCTAGGTCCTGAGCAAGGAAGCAGCTTCGTTTGATTTCCGAGAAAAGGCGCTAAATTATTCGGTTTTCTTCGAGGAAATCGTTCGGTCAAAAATGCAACTGTGGTAACAACTGACGATCTTGCGTACGAAGACAACTTTCCTTGTTCGGAATCTACAATTTCTGAAGGGTTTCCACCAACGACAAGCCGTCAGACCCCTTCCCAGTGGTGTCCCAAGACTCCTCCGACCTTAAAGTGGCGTCTGTGAACGAAAAGACGACGGCAAGATCCCAGAAAACTGACCACGACATGGAACTGGAAGGGCTGGATGCATCGGTCACTCTGGTCATCAAGGCACCAAACCAGAGATATCACGACCAAACCGTGGAGTGTGTTCTCGGATGGACGGTCAAAAAACTCAAGTCACATCTAGCCGAAGTGTACCCAAGTAAACCGGTAAGTCAACTGATATAACTGAAAAAAAATCTGTCCATTTTTGTTGCAAAGTTTCGGTGACAAGAGTCAATTTATGTTTGTTGATGATACCCCAACGAGAAACGATATCTACTGCTATTAAGTTCTTTTTTGTGCTGAGTATTTGACCAAAATTATGTGATCAAAACAAAATGATTTATGAATAATTTTATAGATTCTACCGACTACGTAGGTAGAAATGTGTACAAACAACAATATCATATGACCGGTACTAGGTTATTTATTATATTAGAGGAGCTACATGTAGTACTAGTTACATAACTGAAGTCCACATTTGGACTGTTCCATTAAAAAAAATAAAGGGGGGGGAGAAAGTTACCTTGTATGATGTTTTGTTTGTTTCATGAAGTTCTTTTACATTCAAATTTTTGTTATCATTCTCATATTTGAAGTTCCTCAGTTTCTGTCATATTACCTGATAAAGTATGTTTGAATTTCTGTTGTTAATATCGTGGCTAGTACTCAAATTTTTGTTATCCTTGTAGATCTAAGTATGAATCTACAGCATTTTAAATTTCACTTATCATATTTAGAAATTTCTGAACTTCTGTTACTATAAATATAATTATTGTATACAATGATCAAATTATCTGTAACATATCTTGTCAGATGGTCTGCTCACAGTATTGTTTTTCTTTAAAATGTCTACATTGTAGATGTTTGTGAACAAGATTTTGTACATTTTTTCAGACTGAGCAACAACAACGACTGATCTATTCAGGAAAACTCCTGGAGGATCACCACCTGTTGAAAGATGTGCTAAGACAGGTGAGTTTGTATCTGGATTTTATCAAGACAGATTTGATGTTAAGTAAAATGCTCTATATACAGGAAGAAGGTTTGATATTATATCTGACAGAACATAGCAGACAATTCGGAAATGTTGGCTGTGTTAGCAACAACGAATTGTGTGCTGGTTTTCCGTTGTGTGCTCTGGACTTACAAAGTACTACATAAAATATCTGGAATATATTATCCAAAATAGCGCTGTGTCTGATATCAGTGTTTACTTATGTACTGGCATTGCGCAGCAGCCGACCGATGATGATGATGTACCACAAAAATTGATTAAAGCACCATGGTTTCTGCACAGTTTTTAGCATGAGCCATACTGAATTCTGAGTGAACTGCGGGTAAAATTTGTCTGGTTCAGGTAATTTTCACCAGTGCAAGTATGCAGAAAAAGCATTTCAAGTTTTCTAACCGTTTGCCCCCCTCCCCACCCCGCAGTATGAGGAGACATCGACCCACACAGTACACCTGGTCTGCGCCCCTACGTCTGCTGAAAGTGCTTCCTACGAGCAGATCTCCAGAACTCTTCCCACAGAAATGGTAAGGAGATGTAGTTGTTTTTCTGACTGCTTGAAAAGTCGTGGTCTAGTACGGGCGACAGTGTTCTAGCCAGTATCTGTCTTTGTTATTTGGTTATATGCATATGTTACTAATAACTTATTGTATCATTATTGCTTAGTCATATTACGTATCTGTCTCTTTGTAGGTCCCACCTTCCGTAGCACCAGGCAGTGTGAGCCAGACGTCAGCACCTGATGCAGGTGGCTTGAGACACAGGGGCGCACCTGCGACACCTGCCAGCCCTTACCACTCCCATCAGGCTTACTACATGTACAGGTACGGCCAACTCAAACACTAATACTTCGTCTAGCTGAAATATAATGGTTAATATCAGGGTTAATGACCTACTTTCCTTTGGTGTATGCAGTGTCACAATTCATGTTTGTCATGCTTGGTTCCTGTGACTGTCAAATGACAAACTGAGTCCGCAAAACTTTGCGATCATCCTCTGATATATGCGTAGTGTATTTTTCAATGCCATGATTTGACCTACTTCTTGTTTTTTTCATAAATTATTAGTTATCAATTTTGTCTGCCAAATAACAGAATGGCATTAAAGTTATCATCCAAAAGATTCCACAAAATGTTGGAGTAATAAATGCTGAGTCTCAACACCAGTGTTTTTATCTCCCAGTATGATGCAACAGTACGGAGCAGGAGCACAGGTTCCCATGACAACCACCGCTGGCTATCCCATCAACCCTCAGCAGGCCTATTGGATGCAGATGTATGGACAGTACGCACAGCACATGGCTTACATGCAGCTGTAAGTATGAACAGTACGCACAGCACATGGCTTACATGCAGCTGTAAGTATAGACAGTACGCACAGCACATGGCTTACATGCAGCTGTAAGTATGGACAGTACGCACAGCACATGGCTTACATGCAGCTGTAAGTATGGACAGTACGCACAGCACATGGCTTACATGCAGCTGTAAGTATGGACAGTAGACACAGCGCATTGCCAACATATAAGTATAGACAGTGCATTGCATGTAAAATGTTTGCCAACGTGCAATTTTGTATACGCAATGGGTGGGTAATCCAGAAAGTATTTCCAAATTGCAGAAGAAAATGTTCTGACATTTTCTGCAATATGGCAGAATAGTGAAATAACGTATTTCTACCACTGAAATCCAAACCTTTTTTTTTTCTACAGTGCTCAGCAATATGGAGGTTTACCTACGACCACAGCGGCACCAATGGCAGCTGCGCAGGTCCAACAGCCTGTAGCAGTAGCCAATCAGAACATAGTGCCCAACCAGCCAGCCAACCAGAGGCCGGAGAACGTCCGGATGAACGCGCAGGGCGGGATGGTGATGGACGACGATGATGATGAAGAGGGGAACCGTGATTGGCTGGACTGGCTGTACACGTTGAGCCGCGCGGCGGTCCTGCTGAGTATCGTGTACTTTTACTCAACAACCTCCAGATTCGTGCTACTCCTCGTCGGACTGACACTCGTTTACTTGTAAGCATTTTTCACGTGTTGCCTTAACATTTTTTTTACTTTTCTCTTAAATTGTAGACATTTGACATTGTTATTTTAGATTGTCAGAAGAAAGGCTTGTGCTTTTATTGACTAAAATGCATGTTGATTTCACATCTGGCAGGTTCCAGGCAGGCTGGTTCAGAGTTCGGAGGAGACAACCGCCGAGGGAACCGGTCGTCGAGGCTCCAGCGAGAAATGAGGCCAGGGCAGAAAACCAGGTACGTCCTGAATGTCACATATTTGCAATGGAGTAGGGTTGATTCAACTTACTTTGTAAAGAAACTTTTTGTATCATCCTAATGTTACATGATGCAGCTTTAAACTAATGCTTTCAAATATTGTGTGTCCAATCAGGACCAAGCGGAGGACGAAAATGGCGAAGGAAGCGGGACGGAAGACGAGACAGACACCCCAGCGGAACCACCGCCCATCCAACAACCCGGCATGTTACTGACAGCATGGACCTTCCTTTCCACATTCTTCACTTCCCTCATTCCGCAACAGCCTCCCCCCGTCAATCTCAACTGAGACAGCTGGCCGTCCTGTCTGACGGTTCTTCATTTGCACGTGATGTCACAGCTGATCGGTCTAGTCAGTGTGGGAGAGTCAGGCCTGTAGATTTGCTTTTGTTTCAGTGTTCTAGCCAGCCTTTCTGTCATTTAACAGAATTTTGCCCAATTCGTCAAAAAAAATCAGTGTAGTAAAGATGAGATGTCATTCAACTAAGCTTAGTCTACCAGCAAAATTTACCCCCATTCGCATTCGGTTCTCAACATGAAATTCCATCAAACAACATTGAGATGACAGAAATAAAATGTCAGGCTGGCCAGAGCACTGTTTTGTATGCATCACAGTCTGTACTTATGTCATAATTACGTGATTGTATTATTACCTCTACAAATTCAAATTTACCTGGCAACTTCCAAGTTATACTATTACCACCCAACAAGGTGCACAATACTTTCATGTACATCATAAGTGCAAACAGTCAATACAAGACAGTTGTAACTTTGTAACATAGCTAACACAAATTCCTGCAGAACACTTACATGTGTGGTAGATAGTTACAGACACTTGGTCCTCCTACATTTGCATATTTCAAAGAATCGGTGTGCCTCCTGTGATCTTACTGTAAAGGAGGCTGCAATAAGTGATCTTAAAATTTGTACAGACAACACAGTGTTACGAGTAAAGAGATGTGTAAAACAAAACAATTACCAGAAAAACTTGACATCCTTTACCCCTAGTATTTCTCTGTTTTACAGTGTTAAGAATCAACCTAGGGATGTCATGTTGTATATTGGCTAATTCTAGTTTGGGTCCCTTTCAGTTTTTGTTCTTCCAATCGCTAAGGAGCTTTTGCCAACCCAAGATATAAAGTGTGGAAATGAAAGTATGTTTACATGTGTTTGTTGTCTACCACTCTCTGAAGTGCCTTACTCGAAAGTATCGTAAAAAATTAAGGCATTGTTTTAACCTTCTCAAGGCTGCCTAAGGGACTGAGTTGCCTATCCACATAGCCAATAGGCAATCAGTAAGCTTAACGGCTACTTCAGTGTGCTAAAGGGTACTAAATAGGTGGTGGTAATGTATTGATTAGTCGGTGGTAAATCCGTAGGTTTGTGGTTTGCAAGGAAAAGGAAGTAATCGGCGGATGTCAAGGCCATTTGTGTGTTGTTGTTTTTTTTTTGGAGAAGCCATGACAAAGCAATATGGACGATGCAAAGGAACAACCTTACTAGCTGTGTGATGGTGAATACTCGTGTGGAAGTATAACATGTACAATTATGTTTTATGTCACTCACGCTATGTATTACCTCCTAAGTTTGTATTCTGATAACCTTCCTTGGGTGCCCTTGGAGAACAGGTCTATTTGACTGATGGGACTACCTAACTGAATTCAAGATTATAATGGTGACGTTTAGTTTTGATCCAACACCTCAGAGTCACCATGAAATTTTCTGTCAGACTAATCAACATTCGTCAGATAAATGATCCACTCACTGACTCTCTGGAAGTCGGAAGTGGATGACATCAGGAGTGAATCCAAAGTGGCAGGAAGATGGTTTTGGATCAGAGCTAAACTTTACCATTATAATGAATTCTAACACCATTTGAATACAAAATTGATGAATAATTTAAGTGTAAGAACAAGAGACACCCAATAAGCAAGTTTAAAGTTAAAACTTTAGATTCAACACAACAAAATTCTCCCAAGAGCTTTTTAAGCAAGTTACAGAATATCTTTTAAAGTCCATGAAAGGACGCAGGACTTAAAACTGTGTACAGAAGAACATTATTATGAATAATGTATACATGTATCCTATAATTGCAGATATTAAATGTATAGCCACATGTATTATTATTGTATATTTGTAGATAATCATATGATTTCTTATTCCTTTCTGTATTGTTTGTATGGCCATGCCTCAGGTCAGAGCCATTTTTTCGTCGTTAATTTGATGTCTTTATTTTTTCCTTTTATTTAATGTTTTAAGTTTGAACAGTTACTTCTTTCTTTGCCTTTCTCAACTGAAATGATGACTTTAATGCAGAGGCTTCATCTTGCAAATATGGGTACAAAAGAGCAAACAAAATGTACTGTACTAACTAAACAAGGCAGCCAAAAATACCTTGTTACAATAATAATATTGCACATGAAACGTTTTGATATCTTGCCATAAGAATGTGCAAAATAAGGTTTTGGAATCGATAGATTCAATATCAACTGAATAAAGGTACTGCATTGAAAATATCGAAGTGTCATATGAAGTGTATAAAATTATATATTGGTGAGATTGTTCAAATCAAAACTTGGTCACCAGACTTTTGCCTGTACCTGAATTTTGAAACGCAAGATCTACATTATATTGAAGAGGTGGATGCAAGTGGAACACACAGTACATTGTGGTAGTGGAAATGCTAACATCATGAAAGTGTTGCTCTTATGAAATAAATCCCACAGCTTTACCACTGAGTCACTGGGTTTTTTTTTCAATGCTTATACAGTGAGTATGTAGATTTGATACATTGTTCACTAAATTGGGCATGAGACATTTGGCTTTCCTAAACTGAGTTACTCTCCATGAAAATGGTTGGTACTGACAATCTGGATAATGTTTTGGTGTATATCTCAAGATCTATCGGAGGACATGCGATGATATTTGGCAAGTGGGTGTGTGGGGTGAAGTTGGGCCCCTGGTGATTGACCTTGGTACTGCAGTAGGAATTTTCATATCTTTGGTGCCGAACGGTCTGTGGTGGAGTCTGTGTTGTTTTTGGCAGGTCATTGTCCTCCAAATATGGTCAGCTGCGACTATTTTTTTTTTTATCTTTGACAAGTGTATTCAGCCTGTAGGTAATATATCTCGTGTCTTGCAGCCACCAAAGACCACCAAAATTCTGCTTGGTCGACTCAGATCTTGAACCGCGGATGAATACCTGTGTTCTGCGGTCGCTAGAAGACCTAGAAGTACAGTTCACTATTCTATTAGAAAAGTCGGTTTTCACCATCCTCATGGGGAATACATATCTCAATGCACAGCTCATAATCGGATAATCATCTATGATTTTGTAACTCTCTATCGAGTATAGGCACTATTTTCTACTCCCACTGGGTTCTTGAAATTTGAATCGCGGATGGATACTGTGTTCTGCGGTCACTTTAGTTTGTTCAGGCGGGACGCTGTGCAGTCTGTAGCCTAGGCTTCTTGAGTTCGCAGCTTTGTGTGGTCCAAGGCGATATTTTCAGAAAAATCCGGCACCAGATTCAGCATCAAGGCCCGTTTTTCATCAGGGATTCGTTTCAGGTACGTAGGAAAAGCTGCAACAGCACCAGTTGACCAGAGAACCAAGGAGGTTAAATACATTTATTTAACCTCCTTGAGAGAACGTGGTGTGTGGCGTGTGACAGACACATGTGACGATACCGCCTAGACCTTCGCAAACAAACGTGTACCTCGTGTCGAACAAATTATATGTACTAAACATGACGTTCTCACGTTCGATTGTAGCAACATATAATAGCAAGAACTGAACTATATATAACTTTGATGATGGCTCATCGGGGGAAAATATGTATCATCTAGTACGTACTACCCCTTCCCACATCTGGTTTCCATCACGCATATTTGTGATGTTGTCAGGGGAGGTTCACTAAGCTCCTCTGACACAGGTTCACTAATGTGTTGCAGGGGCTCTATCTGATGCTCTGCCAGAGTCCAACTGTAAATGTGGTAACTAGGTATGAGAACAGGCATAGTCAATCATCACATTGCAAATAGCTAAGACCATTTCTCTTTTACCTCCATGCTAAGACTAAAGTCAAAGAGGAAGAAGAACAGCAAACTTAAAATTCTTCATGTTTGTTTTGTTGTTTGACCCCAGGCTCCTCCCTCATAATTTACCACACGGTACTGTAGGCTGGTATGAGGCTCTCGTGAGTGGTGACTAAATGGTCTGACAAATCAATTTTTCCATCTGATCTTTTACAGAAGTTGCTTAGGCTGTTACTACCATCATGGCAACAAGTGGAATGGGCACTGATGATGTGGAAAGCAGTTTGGCAGGGGAGTTTGTTGGTGGAATGGTGACTGCAAAACGCTTCAGGTGTGAGGAGTGTAGCAAGCAGTTCAGTTCCCTTAGTCAACTGAAGAGGCACATGCAGACTCACACTGGTGAGAAACCCTACAGGTGTGAGGAATGCAGCAAGCAGTTCAGACAGCTGAGTCATTTGAAGACTCACATGCGGACTCACACAGGTGAGAAACCCTACAGGTGTGAGGAGTGCAGCAAACAGTTCACTACTCTGAGTCATTTGAAGACTCACATGCGGACTCACACTGGTGAGAAACCCTACGGGTGTGAGGAGTGCAGCAGGCAGTTTAGTACCCTGAGTAATCGTAAGATTCACTTACGGACTCACACAGGTGAGAAGCCCTACAGGTGTGAGGAGTGCAGCAGGCAGTTCAATCAGCTGTGTGATCTGAAGACTCACATGCGGACTCACACTGGTGAGAAGCCGCACAGTTGTGAGGAGTGCAGCAAGCAGTTCAGTAGACTGTATACTCTGAAAACTCACATGAAGACTCACACAGGTGAGAAGCCCTACAGGTGTGAGGAGTGCAGCAGGCAGTTCAATCAGCTGTGTGATCTGAAGACTCACATGCGGACTCACACTGGTGAGAAGCCGCACAGTTGTGAGGAGTGCAGCAAGCAGTTCAGTAGACTGTATACTCTGAAAACTCACATGAAGACTCACACAGGGGAGAAGGCCTACAGGTGTGAGGAGTGCAACAAACAGTTTAGTACCCTGAGTTATCTTAAGATTCACATGAGGACTCACACAGGTGAGAATCTCTTCAGGTGTGAGGAGTGCAGCAAACAGTTCACTACTCTGAGTCAACTGGAGACTCACATGCGGACTCACACAGGTGAGAAGCCCTACAGATGTGAGGAATGCAACAGGCAGTTCAGTCAGCCGAGTCATTTGAAGACTCACAAGCGGACTCACACTGGGGAGAAACCATTCACGTGTGAGAAGTGCAGCAGGCAGTTCAGTCAGCTGAGTCCTCTAAAGTCACACATGCGTACTCACACAGGGGAGAAACCCTACAGGTGTGAGGAGTGCAGCAAGCAGTTCAGTCAGCTGTGTGATCTGAAGAAACACATCCGGACTCACACAGGGGAGAAACCCTACAGGTGTGAGGAATGTAGCAAGGAGTTCAGTGAACTGAGTAATCTGAAGACTCACATGCGGACTCACACAGGTGAGAAACCCTACAGGTGTAAGGAGTGCAGCAGACAGTTCAGTGATGTGGCTAATCTGAAGAGACACATGCGGACCCACACTGGTGAGAAACCCTACAAGTGAAGTGTGAGGAGTGCAGCAAGCAGTTCAGTCGTCTGGGTAATCTGAAAACCCACATGCAGACTCACACTAGACATGATTCTTAAAAATGTGAAATTCTGAAATTATGTTGTTACCACCTAACTTTTGATAAAGTTTTGATAACCTAACAATATCAGTTGTTTTTTGTAAGTTAGCAGGGCATGCAGACTACTTAAAGTAAAGAAATTACATACTGTAGTATAATGTAGCTCTCTGAAGTTTGATTTTGTTGTTGTTTCTTGAATCATTTTTCTTGTTAAAATTTAGTTCTGTAGCTGATAGTGTTTCTTAGCCTGAAGATTATATAAAACAGCTTTTCATTTTCTCAATTATTTCTAGTAGATGACAATGCACTAGTCTTTCAAATGATTTTTAGTCATTTAATCAATCTACGTATACTGTAGTATGTTTGTTGGTTCTTTATATCCATTGGATGATTTGGATCCATTTAGACTAACTTCGATAAAAAAAATTAGCTAATTTACTTATGTTTGATATTTCTTTTTCTTACATTTGGTGAAGAGTTTTGTAACAATAACTTAAACTTCCTAGGTCTGTCTATAGAGGCATTTTTGGTTTGTTATAACTATACTTGTTCAAGTTGAAGGTGTTTTGTGTAAATAAAGTTCAGTGTTTGACATGAATTCGTCTTCTGTATGGAACTAGGATAATGTTAGTTTTCATGTTGATACTAGGCGGCTACCTGAAAACTGATGGTAGCTGACTTTTCTGAAACTGATGGTAGCTGACTTTTCTGATGGTGAAATATAGTTTGTTGGACAACGGATTACGGTAGTTACATATTCAATTAGTGTGTCCTGCATGCATTCCAAGCAAAAGTAATATTCACTATTAAACCATTTATCTGCTATGCCTTTCATGCCAGACCCATAGCATACTCAGCCCCAATTTAGCCAGCGTGCAATGGTCTACCTGAGGATCCTTCTGATCTGTTGTATAATTTCATTGGCCCATCAAGGAGCTAGCCTGTGAAGATCCTAGAAATGTCTGGCATCCGTTTCCAAAAAAAAAAATTCGGGATTGGAAGCCATGACATGATGTCATATGACCATGGGCGGCCGTTCTGTTATATAAAAGCTAACTTTGATTGTAATACTACTGCACACACTGCCAAGGGGTTGTTTTCATATTCAGAATTGGAAATACAGAGTGAGCTATTTTTACCTGTTTAATCGCTCCTCTGCCACTTTCTATGCTTTTATGACGTAAGGGACCCGCCAGGATCACCCCTGGGCCCCGACAGGGACCCGACAGCTGCCCGGTCGGACTCTAAGAGCCGGTCGGCACCCTACCGCACCCCGCACGGGTCAAGGCGGGAGACTTACCGGGCATCGGACGGGTCCCTGACAGAAGTCGGCCGTCAAAGGGACGAAAAGTTTGTGATCAGCGCCGGAGCACAACTAGGCCCCGACAGGGAGCCGTAAAGGAACCTTTGTGACCATGACAGCCGGGGTACGCTCGGCTTCATGACGCCGGCAGGCGTCTGCACCGAGAACATGCTGCGCAGACCCCGTTGGAAATGTGACTCCAGCTTCGAAACCTTGCAAACCAGTAATGACGAAATCCATTCCTTTGCTAAGGGACGCAGCCTCATAACAAACCCCATGGCCAGTCTAAAATCTCGATCTAGCTATCAGCTATCGGGGTTTGACCTAAGACCTTGGAACAGTAGCAGAAGCATCTAAGCCTTTATGGTATTATCACATCATCACCGACTATTCTTACCATACAAACACCTCCGGATACTTAGTACTCTATTTGTGAAAGTAAAAGTGGCATATTCTGGAATTATATCTGATGGTACAGTGAAATTGGTGCACAAGACCCCAAATGTTAAAAGCAAATCGAAAGTTAAACGATAAACAAAATGGCTCAGGTTACCGTGGGGCCCAACGAAAACCTGACTAACCAGTAATGACGAAACCACCCCTTTGTTCAGGGCCGCACCTTCATAACCAACCCTCTGATCGGAATGTCAAACACCTCGCTCGATCAGTTCTCGGAACTAAGACCTTGAAACAGTAGCAGAACAAATCGAGGCACTCTGTCTTGTGACAACACAGCGGATTGTCGCCCGTAAAAAAACCCAAGTCACAAAGATTCTTACTCTGAAGTTGGACGTGATTGTTTGCAGGTAAGACCGACTTTGTGACATTCATAAGGCAACATTTAAGTCGATAGTGAGGTCGAATGTTCGGTTAAAACGGTTGAGTATTTTGACTTGGATCTTATTACCCTGTCTATCGTGATCTTAGTCATAATTAATTACGTTCAATGATCGGAAAACGGTTAAACACTAGATATGATCACAACCTGTTAGCTATCTTCTATTTGGTAAACGTGTGGTCCTTGCCTTATACCGAAAATTATATAGTTAAAAAACAGACTTGTTGTGTCGCTGGAGTTAAGTTGGAAATTTCGTCAAACGCCCTTATATGCCGTGTTCGCAAAGACATGCTAGCGAACACTTGAAAAACGTCACACGTTTCTCCAAATCGTCCTATAAATGCCCCGTTTTTTCAGTCGCGTGGGGTAGCGACAAAAAAAAAAGACCGGGCTTAAACAAAGGTAACAATCTCCCCCACCAACCTCTGCTTGGAGAGTACAAACCCACCCCTTTGTTAAGGGCCGCACCTTCATAACCAACCCTCTGATCGGAATGTCTAAAATCTCACTCGATCAGTTCTCGGAACTAAGACAGACACAAATCGAGGTACTTAGTCGTGTGACAACGCCGAGGATTGTCGCCCGTTAAAGAACTCCAAGTCACATAGTTTCGTACTCTGAAGTTGGACGTGATTGTTTGCAGGTAAGACCGACTTTGTGACATTCATAAGGCAACATTTAAGTCAATAGTGACCACGCAGGTTCGAATTCGGTTAAAACAGTTGAGTATGTTGACTGGGATCTTAATACATTCTCTATCGTGATCTCAGTCATAACCAATCAAGTTCAATGATTGAAACTCTGAACACCAGATATGATCACAACCAGTAAGCTATCTTCTATTTGTTAAACGTCTGGTCCTTGCCTTATACCGAAAAATTATATAGTAAAAAACAGACTTGTTGTGTCGCTGGAGTAAGGTTAGAAATTTCGTTAAACGCCCTCGTATAACGTGTTTGAAAAAACATGCTAGCGAACACTGGAAAACGTCACACGTTTCTCCAAATCGTCCTATATATGCCCCGTTTTTTCAGTCGCGGAGGGTAACGACAAAAATGGGGCATAAAGAAAGGTAACAATCTCCCCCACCAACCTCTGCTTGGAGAGTACAAACCCTCCCCTTTGTTAAGGGCCGCACCTTCATAACCAACCCTCTGATCGGAATGTCTAAAATCTCACTCGATCAGTTCTCGGAACTAAGACCTTGAAACAGTAGCAGAACAAATCGAGGCACTCTGTCTTGTGACAACATAGCGGATTGTCGCCCGTAAAAAAACTCCAAGTCACAAAGATTCTTACTCTGAAGTTGGACGTGATTGTTTGCAGGTAAGAGTGACTTTGTGACATTCATAAGGCAATAGTTAACTCGATAGTGACCTCGAATATTCGGTTTAGTAAAACGGTTGAGTATTTTGACTTGGATCTTATTACCCTGTCTATTGTGATCTTAGTCATAATTAATTATGTTCAATGATCGGAAAACGGCTAAACGCCAGATATGATCACAACCAGTTAGCTATCTTCTATTTGGTAAACGTCTTGTCCTTGCCTTATACCGAAAATTATATAGTTAAAAACAGACTTGTTGTGTCGCTGGAGTTAAGTTGGAAATTTCGTTAAACGCCCTCATATGCCGGGTTTGAAAAAAAAATGGTAGCGAACACTGGAAAACGTCACACGTTTCTCCAAATCGTCCTATAAATGCCCCGTTTTTTTCAGTCGCTGGGGGTAGCGACAAAAAAAAAAGACGGGGCTTAAACAAAGGTAACAATCTCCCCCACCAACCTCTGCTTGGAGAGTACAAACCCACCCCTTTGTTAAGGGCCGCACCTTCATAACCAACCCTCTGATCGGAATGACAAACACCTCGCTCGATCAGTTCTCGGAACTAAGACAGACACAATTCGAGGTACTTAGTCGTGTGACAACGCCGAGGATTGTCGCCCGTTAAAGAACTCCAAGTCACATGCATAGTTTCGTACTCTGAAGTTGGACGTGATTGTTTGCAGGTAAGACCGACTTTGTGACATTCATAAGGCAACATTTAAGTCAATAGTGACCACGCAGGTTCGAATTCGGTTATAACAGTTGAGTATGTTGACTGGGATCTTAATACATTCTCTATCGTGATCTCAGTCATAACCAATCGAGTTCAATGATTGAAACTCTGAACACCAGATATGATCACAACCAGTAAGCTATCTTCTATTTGTTAAACGTCTGGTCCTTGCCTTATACCGAAAATTATATAGTAAAAAACAGACTCGTTGTGTCGCTGGAGTAAGGTTAGAAATTTCCCCTCATATAACGTGTTTGAAAAAACACGCTAGCGAACACTGGAAAACGTCACACGTTTCTCCAAATCGTCCTATAAATGCCCCGTTTTTCAGTCGTGGGGGGTAGCGACAAAAATGGGGCATAAAGAAAGGTAACAATCTACCCCACCAACCTCTGCTTGGAGAGAACAAACCCACCCCTTTGTTAAGGGCCGCACCTTCATAACCAACCCTCTGATCGGAATGAAAGATATCTCGCGCACACACACAC